GGCATCTATGGGTAGTGTAAAATAGCCCTGCCTTATATTGTCATCTATGGGTAGTGTAAAATAGCCCTGCCTTACATTGTCATCTATGGGTAGTGTAAAATAGCCCTGCCTTACATTGTCATCTATGGGTGGTGTAAAATAGCCCTGCCTTACATTGTCATCTATGGGTAGTGTAAAATAGCCCTGCCTTACATTGTCATCTATGGGTAGTGTATAATAGCCCTGCCTTACATTGTCATCTATGTCGTCTATAGGAAGTTTAATTATAGTATGCGGACTGTACATTGTCATCTATGGACTCAATACTATGCAATGATCTATTGACAGCATAATTTCACTTACTTAACAGGTTCAAGTGTAGACGATGTGTCAACAATATCCAAGTACGGCCACCACCAGATGGAAGTGACTGCAGTAATGACTTATCGCAGTGGAATCATTGCCCAGATAAGAAAGGAATCATTGATCAAGTTTTAAAAAGCAGTTGGTGTGATAACATCAGTTTTGTATTTCATCATCGGTCACATGATCAAATTCAGACTGTTTAGCAAAATTGGACATTGGTGGCGCCCGTCATAATCTGTGAAACTACCTGTCTCCTGGTCTTACTTCTAATAAAGTGTAAAATATGTTATAAATTTTAAATGTACAGATTTGTTATTCGTGGTATATTTTTTATCTGACCATGGCTGGTCAAAGTTCATATGCTGTATATCTCTAGTAGTTGGGCATGCACTACAATATATAAATGAAAAGAGGTGTGTCTATAGTCTAAGTAAGTTGTATTTTAATGATCCAACATGCAATAAAAGGAATGGTTGGTTCTATTGCATTTCTATTGGACATATGTGCTTCTAATAGAGCAAATACAGTACTGTGTAGGTATATACATTTTCACTTCTGAGATTTCATCCTATATATTAAGATATCAGTCCTGGCTTGCAGGTGATAAGGTATACACATTTGAATGATCAGTTTGACACAGTGATGCATGGTTGGTCTTACTTCAAGTGCTTCTCAACGTCTTTATGTAAGCTATTTTAATGTTCCCTAATGCAATGATGCTACCCAGTGCATGCATATTTGCATAATACATTTGTTACTTATACTACACAGGTATGTGTCAGAGACTACCAACTCTAGTGCTACATTGAGAATACACTGAAGTACATGTATCTAAATAAGATGACAATGTAAATGAAGTGATATCTATCAGTGTGTGAGGCAGCTACCCATTGTATAACCTATATAATTTGTATAATTTTCATTAACAATTGTATTCTATAGTGGATACTCTAGACAATATGTCTATGTTTGTTGTGTTATATAGACTGTCCAGTCTGTACATCATTCTATGCATTAGTATCTCCTTTCAAACAATACATCCAGCACTGTTATTACATACTAGTCATGCATTGCTACTCAAAAAAAAGAAATATTTATTTGCCTTTATTTATGAGAGAGAATAAAAAAAGAAATAATTTTAGCGTTTTGACATACTACATGAATGTGTTTTAGTGTAAGGATTGTTTGAGAACAAATATGGTTATTTGATGGTTTGAAATGATGGATTTGCCTAACATGTAGCAAGTTATTATTACACTGTAACACTATCAGTGGTGTGTCGTAGATTATGCGGGAAGTGTTTGCAGAAAAACTCAGAAAAAGAAATTAATTAAGTGGCAACAAATATTGGTATTTGAACTTCAAATTAAAGTGCGCCCTCTATGGCGAAAACGACACTATAAGTACGGCATTTTTTATAACCAGTCGATGAAGACAGCTGTCAAATTTATCAAATGCCGAACCACATCAGTTTTAGAAAATTTACCTAAATGCTCATCTCAATTTTTTTTTATAAACGTTTTTCATTCTGTGTTATCTTCAAACTTTCAAATGAGAATGTCTTGGGGTATATGCTTGAGTTGGATCGGTTTGATTACTTACTGCTTCTTGTGTTATTATCTAACCTATCTGCTCTCCTAGGCTATAATGGATTGCATTGGTATCCATGACACGTATAAACAGAAATGCATTTTTCTTTTGTAATTCAGCCTTTTGCAATTTTTTCTGCATATTAATTATCGGTACCCTCATTTGCAAATTAGCGAGTTTAGATTGCACAAGACCTGCCTGTTAGCATTAGTATTGGGCATATATACATGTCTTAGAATTGAACAAAATAACATGGATTTTTATTCTTTTAATAAATTTATGCACTCTCATTTGCATAATAGTGATTACAGATTCCATTTGAAATGCAGGTTGTAGTAGAATTTGTTAGGAATTATTCATTCAAATACCTAGTGTTTGCAACTGCTGCATTAGAGGGTGGGTTTAGTATTTTTCAATAACCCTGTATTGCTTCCATGTAAATTTGTGGGTTTACGTAAGAATGAGAAGTAGCATGTAACCAGTCTTATGGAAAAAAGCTCAAACAAAATAAATTGTGACTTGTACAACCTCCTTGAAATAATGCTATATAACGTGATATTTTTTCACAGATGGAAACTATCAGTCAACAACCTTTCATATGCTGATACTATACTGTGGATCTTTTTTTGTTTTTTTAATTCGCCCTAAGGAACCATCCCAGAATTTTTGTTTTTTTAAATAAAGATAATTCAATTTTTCTTTTGATGCTGGAACATTATAGTTATTGACACATGTTATTACCGTGCCACTGCAGGTTTTTTCTATTTATAGCGACCAGACAGATAGAATTAACATCATATTATGTATGATTCTACCAGCACATGCCAATTCGATTGAAACTAGGTTAATCAAAACCTGTCCAGTTGTCATTGCTATTCAGTGTGTGTACATCTTTTGTCGTGATACGCCATCCATATTTGTATTGCTTTTACAAGCACTTGTTTTAATTGCTCTTCAGCTGCCTTGACTTACGGTGGGGATTGTGTTCACTATTAAGGTGAAGGATGAGTTTGGGCAATCAATTGCTCAGTTCAACTCATTGTATGTACGCCAGTTGCAGGATGTTGACCAGCATAACTGACAACCCTATGGAAAGAATGGGATGTCTATTTAAATTAGTGAATGAGGCAAATATTGTTCATCAACATCTCACGAAACCTTATCATATGAGTGATGTCCGTCGTCGTCGTCCATGTCAATGTTTTACTTTTTCGACTTCTTCTGAAAACTACAAGCTGAATGCTTTGATACTTGGTGTATATGTACCTTTGGGTAGACCTCTCTCAGATTTGTTCATTTCATGATGATATCTTCAATTCTCTAATTTTGGTGAATATTTTTGTCATTTTTGGTAAAAAGTGACATTTTCAACTTCTTATTAAAAACCGCAAGTCCAATTGCTTTGATATTACATATATAGGTACTACATATGGACCTCTCTCAGATTTGTTCATTTTGTAATGATATCTTTAATTCTCTAATTTTGGTGAATATTCTTGTAATTTTTGGTAATAAGTGATATTTTCAACTTCTTGTTAAAAATCGCAAGTCCAATTGCTTTGATATTACATATATAGGTACTACATGTGGACCTCTCTCAGATTTGTTCATTTCATGATTATATCTTCAATTCTCTAATTTTGATGAATATTTTTGTAATTTTTGGTAAAAAGTGATATTTTCAACTTCTTGTTAAAAATCTCAAGTCCAATTGCTTTGATATTACATATATAGGTACTACATGTGGACCTCTCTCAGATTTGTTCATTTCATGATTATATCTTCAATTCTCTAATTTTGATGAATATTTTTGTAATCTTCTGTTCTTTAATTGCCATGTGCATTGCATCTCGGCCGACAGGCTGCTTGTTTAAGTTTTTCCTTTTACGGTGATTGATGATATCGGGTATATTTTAATAGTACAACTAGTCAATGATGTAAGAGTATTTTAAAGCAATAAAACCTTCATTATTTATCACTACAGCATACGTCCTTATAAGTGCTATATTTTATTACACCAATGTATCAAAATGTGTGTCAATTTCAGATGTGCAGAGACCATAATACTACCATATTTGGCAACTACAATTTAATATTTTTACTGCCAGAAGAATCACTAGTTGGGCTATAGGATTTAATAGTCATTTCGGAAGCTACCACCCTTAACAGTAGAGAGGTGTGTTTGGCCATCAAATATATTAGTAACTTTTCTGCCCAGGCTGAATTAGTACGGACTTACCATAGCTAAGCCAAAATTATTCCGATTTGAGTTTAGACTTTTTGTTTACCTGCAAACTGCCTCTCATTATTGCATGACCAGAGGTGTGTTTCTAGGTTTTACAATTCATGGGAATTATTTACTATTAACACTTTGCGTGTTCTCAGTGAGTTAAGTTTCAAGAAGTGTGACGTTATATCGGAAGACTTCTATTTCTCTGAACTCGTTGACTTTTTCAAAAATGAAGAATTTTGTTTCTATGTCTAAGCCTAAAGAGAAAGTACTGTTCAAACTTTGTGGAGAGGGGGCGCCATAAGTAGTTTTTGTCAATGATGATCTTCAGATTCTGATTCTGCTGATTTGAGGCAAGAACCATGTTTGAAAGCCTCATTTTGGCACCACCTTCTATGCATGATCTGCCAAGCAACAGTAATTGCATTTGCCAGTGAATTGCCAAAGGTGTTCTGCCCCCAAATGGTTACCAATAGCTACACATGAAATCTCAGGCCTTAGCTCTTAATCACCATGTGCTCCTTCCCCAGTTTCTATAACGTCGAACATGACACGTTCCATGTCAATCCCAATCCCAAACTTAGGGGCAAAAGACGTATTAATTGACATCAGGGGCTCCTGCTATGAAGTCAATGATAATGATACCTGGTCCAGCTGTCTAATCCAGTATTGACAATAGCCATCATTTATCCGAACTGAAAGATTTCCTCACTTACAACAAATTACCTTGGTCTGTGCACTTTTAGACAGAGCTACTTTAATCCATAGCACTCATGAAGGAGATATCTTTGGTTCAAATCAAACTGGTCATCAGTATGTTGACAGAGTAAATTGCCCACTTTTGCTCAAACTGTCTATGGAGTTGGTTATGTACCATAAGATGCAACTACAGACTTTGTGAATGTTCAACCATCCCTGCCTATGATGAGAACCACATATATACTACTCAAAACAATTTAAGGAACACCTGGGTTTTTACATCAAATATGTTTGGACCATGTTAAACAATGTTATGTAACCCCAATGGCAGTTTTTAATCTGCCACACATGTTCAAATTCTTACTTAACTCCAGTAGATGAGAATAGGTGCGCTGTAAATTTCACAGTTACGTATTCTTTCAGGGGAAAATCAGGTGAAAAGATGGAACATTGCTCATCACACACCTGCTCCAATGTGCTTGGAAGAATGTTGAGTTTTTCCCTGTACATAATGCATCCTTGTGATCATGTCTGCCAGTTATGCTAATCAGTATACACTCACTCATGGCATTGTCGCAACTTTTGCAAGCATGCCTCCACGTCAACATTTAACAATTGAAGAGAGCCAGGGCCATAGGCTGGTTGAATGAGGGTATTTCCTTGCGAGAAGCTGCAAGAAGTAAA